TCTAACAATTAATTGAGAAAACAGTCATTCATCAACATGAATCGATGGAAAATCGTGGAAATAACCACTAATTGCAGCCCTACTTGGAAATCAGCTCTAGGCCAGAGAGTGTATAGATTGTGCGTAAATAATTTAAGCTACATAGTGGAAATAAAAAAAATGTGTTTAATTTGTAAGATACATATTTAAGCTTCACATTTAAATAACTTTTTATTAAATATTAGACTCATTGATTTCTTCAAATAAATTACTACTGTAATTACCCATACAAAGACAAGTGATTCAATAGATGTGGACAATTTTGCAATACATATTAATTACCTTATATCATAAGAAAAAATAACTGCATGCTGACTTTCAGTTGGATTCCTCCTTCATATTGTCACTACACAAATTTGTAGCAACCTCAGTGATGTCAATTTTACTATCTTCTTTATCTGACTCTTCCAGTGGACTTCAAACTCAAACTACATATAATAACAAAATGTTATACTGGCACTTCTTGTCTGTCCACTTTAAGTCAAACTTAGCCTGTAAATTTGGCAAAATGTTTCTAAAAAAAAAACCTGCACTGGTCCTAACATACTAATTTAAATGTACAGTATGCAATTCCTGCTGCTAGGGGGTAATAATAAAAGACATACAATCTATCTGACGTAAAATGCTAAAATGCTACACAAGTAGGTGGCTCTGCAAAGTAACCTGGAGAAGAGACAAGTGAATAATCACATACTTAAACAAACAAGAAAAGATTGGTCATTTGCTAGTTTCTCCACTTTGTTTACCCATGTCAAAACGTCATTCTATAAAAGCTGAGAGTATACTATCTGCATGACACCTTGTCCTGCTGTACCACACCAGACGTCATAATCTCTCAGTCATCTCAGGCTTCTCGCATGAAGCTACTTTTAGACACAGGCATGTTCCCCTCTCTCTTTCTGGCTGGCAGCATTTGAACAGGAAAAGTCAACACTCTTCTTTCAAAACAGGCACCTCAACATGGCAGACCGGCAACCAGAGGCCAGCTACTGGTCAATATATAACTCTGGGACAGAAATTAGACCCTGACAAGGTCCTCTTTTCTGTACGACCTTTTAAATGCCAGAAAATTACAGGTTTTCATAAAAGAAAAATCTATAATTTACACCTGATGCTAACAATGACCCCATCTCTTAAACCCTGGCAGTGCTCACCCCTAACTCTAAATACTGCCTGTCACTACACATGCATCAGTCTGAGCAGGTACTCTATAGTTGGATATGTATCACACATGCCTTAGGGGTGACTAATTGATCCCAGAGGAATGCTGTGAAGTAATATAATCATTTATCTCTCCCTGCTGGCTAAAACTGAGACTTAAAAGGGGACATATACAGTCCTGGGGAGAGGAAAAGTGGAAACATGTATGAGAAGCAGATTTTCTAAAAATCAAAGATAAGAGGAAAACATCTGTTAACTTTCAGAGCTCAGCTTGATACACTGTGTGTTCAGCCCTGAGTGCATTTTCTTTGACTGATTCTCAGCCTCAATGCACAGAGGTTGTCAGCAGGTTCTGTTTACGCCACACAAATCATGAGCAAAAGCAGCAAGGTTCTGTTTACGCCACACAAATCATGAGCAAAGAGGCCATGGGAACTAATGGAAATGTTGGGTGTGTGTCTATTAAATTAATGAAATTCACAATGTCGTTTTGTTTACAATGAAGGTTATATTGTATACATTATTGTATTATAATAATATATTATAATTGAAAACTGCAGAGTGACAGCTTAGATACAATAATTTAACCTGCCAGAGAAAGGTGCCTTTAAACAACGCTTACACTCAGAAGGTAAGAAATCAATGAAGACAACATACAACACCTCTTATTTCACAGACCAGTAATAATAATCTATGGTCATAATTGTTTTTGTCAAAATCAAACCACCTCAGGTTAAGTTATAAAGACATGGAGTATTTTTAGTGTTGTTGTCTGCATAATGTGCTAGACTGTGTAAAAGGCCATTGCACTTGCCACAGGTGATATGACTGGTTCAAGTGTCTGACACACAAACAAAAACATGTCACAACCAATATCAAATATTTTGCCACTGTAGAAGAAGTTGTATCTAGTAAAAATACTGCAGACAGTACGCTCTGCAATATTTACTAATAAATACCAAATATATAACATCAGGCCAAAGGTTTTGATAAGTTTATCTATAGCATTATATAGTTCAGTAACAAATAAACAAATAAGATTAAGATAACAATATGTTTACCTTTAGTGCATACTTTCCCCCACTCTCTTTGTGGAATATTTCCAGCACTCTGCCATTTATCCCCATCCCGAGCACCTGACTTGTCACACTGTAATCGTCTGTTATTACATTCCTCTTGATTTGAAGAGGGTTGTTAAAAGGTTTCACTAAACATTGTGGGAAAGGAGCAGAGTTCACATTAGGCTGCTGTTGCACCGGGAAAGCCGGCTGGTGCTGATTCGACATGTTAACTATCGGCAACACATGAGTGATAACAGTCCCACAGGTGCGGTGTTTGTTTTTGTTTTTATCTCGTCTTCCCCGCTGCGAGCACCAGCTATCGTTAGTTAACTATCTTAGCTACCACCTAGCTCATGTTGTCCTTGTGTGATATTAGCCCTCCGCTAGCCGCCGGGACCGCTCTCACTCAAGTCCTCCACACGCAGCTGTGGCTGTCCGGGAAGTCCTGTGAGATTCTTGACAGACTGCCAGACAGTCTAACAACTTCACTTTCACACCGTGTGATATCACTTGTTAATACATAAAGGTTAACATCAAAATTGAATTGACGTCAATGGTAAATAAATGAGCAAACTTCCGGGCTGAAATGGTGGACGTTAAAGCAGCATCTCTGCAGCGGTCCCCTGACAGGGGCGAGCCTGGGGGGTTAAAGGAGGGTGGGGTTCGCCCCCCTCACTACCACCACCTCCACTAATGGTGCTTTCTGTTTGCACTGGAAAGTTGTAATTTCTGTGTTTCCCAGTATGAAATTTCCACTGGGACGCCTCACGAAGTCAAATTTCCTAGTAGGAAAGTGGGAAGAACCCCACCGACGCCGACCTTCAAAATACAAAAGTGGCTGCTGCACCTGTCCGCTAAGCTAAGTGGAGACTGTAGTAATATACTGTTTATTTGCACCTCTGTATTATGTGTGTCATTAAAGGACAAGTGTGTAGGATTAATGCTGCGTTCACATGGAATCAGGCAAACGGAAGACGCCAAAGCCCTATTCTACAGCAAGTGTTTGGTTTGTCCCTTCTGGGCTACTGTAGAAATATGCCGATTCCATGAAACGCGACCTGCAACATTTGTAGATAAGAACAGCTCTCTCAAAGGTAACAAAACCACAATGTCAATGATACATGTAATTATACACTAATAAAAAAATAAATAAATCCATTTCTGCCAATAGAGCCTCCTAAATGTTACACACTGGACCTTTAAATCGGCCGACACATCAGTTCTGCACAATGCATTATCAACTGGTATCGCTAATAATTTCTAATGTCTAACCTTCCTAGAGCTTGGTTTTTCCGACTAAGACTCAGACTCATACATGTCTGTAGCAGAAAACAATGATTGCTTGTCTGCTCACACACTTGCTCGTATTACAGATAAACAGTACAGTGGGGCAAGAAATACGCAATGCAGTAACCGCACTGCCTAGTTTTACAGTTTGGTCTGAGTTTCTTGTGTTGCACTGGACGGACTCACTGAGAATGACTTGTCAATCACAAGCCAGAAAAACGTTCTGAAAAATATGATGCCCCAGTCGAGCAGAGGAGAGGACTGGTGGGATTGTGACATCCATCCAGAATTTTTGGATATCAAGGGTTACCTTTAAGTACATCTGTCAGCACCTCTCCACAAGAATCTCACATATCTGTACTTGATCTGGATTGCATATTTAAGTGGCCAAATCAAATTCAAAAGATTAGATTCCATGTGATTTGTGCTGTTCACACTGTCATGAAAAAACAAAACACATACGAGATCGTGTTTATCCTGAAAACTAATGTTTACATAAGAGCTGGATTTGGGGCTAGATTTGCCTGCAGTCTGAACATAGGGTAACATCATTTGAGACTGTTCTAAAGAGAAGTCAGGCTACAGTAACAAGGATATCATGGAGGCACAATGTGATAAAAACAAATAGAGAGTTAATGCATCAACCCATCCAAGTAATGCATGTAAAGACACCAACAGTGTTCATCATGTGATTCATATTAAATGGTCAAAGCCATTGTCAGCTAAGCTATAGGTGCAAAATAAAATGCAGTTTTCTCTTAAGGACTAATGCGAGCCAGGACTCACTCACTATGCAGTAGCTATCACTGTCATCTCCTGCTTCCCCATTTTCATTGAGTTTCCTCAAATGAGTGAGACAGCGCTCCCTTTGTTGGCACCCTTTCATTAGAAATTGTTAAATATCAAACAATCACTGTCATATCATTGTGAAAATGAATGGGGGAAAAGAAACTCAGATTTTCAATTGTGAAGCTAGTCATACTCACAAATAAAACTTTTTACTAGCTGGTTTCTTTCCTGGTAATTAAATGTCTCTTCATTACTCCTTTAACAACACACCAAGGAGCAAGGACATTGTTGCTGTAACTATGGCAATTAATTACATTAGCTGTTAACTGCTGAGTGGTCAACAGCCTGTTTTACATGGGCCATCAGATAATAAATGGCATAATAAAGTGGATAATAAAGTTGCCCTTATACTAGGATATTAAAGTACCCTGTAAGGATAATAAAGTGCTCTTTAACTTAATTTTGGAGACGTTGTCCAATACGTTTTCCAGTACATGCACCCTGCCCTGGGATAGCAGTATAATGGTACTTCTGACGTAAAAAAGTAATTAAAGTAAGTAATAAAATAACTGAACTAGTTTTCATATTATATGTATATGAATTGTATTACACGTCCATGTGCTTACTGCGGAACCGGTTGCGTCGCCGCGGCACAGTTTCACGTCGGAAATAAATATGTGTCGGACCATCACACCCAACGAGGAACAGCTGATTACTGTAAAGCCAATATAAGAAATATATTAGGCTGTTTCGCCGTTGCAGAGGGCGTATAAAATGTATGTGTCGACACAATGAAAACAGTTCCATTATCTCAGCAGGACAAGCCGAATTCGTCGCAGTAGTTTGTTTATTTTCTGAGAAGATGTTTGCCAGACAGTTTCGTGTCAAATCCAACACCGCAATCAAAGGATCGGACAGGTGAGTCAGTGCTGCTGCTGCCGCAAGCTCTGCACACACTGTAGCCTGTCGCCATTTACTCCGAGCTACAGTTTGTTTTATGTTTATGTTGTGGGTTGTTGAAAACCGCTCGAAAAGCTCTTAATATTAGACCTTGCCTAACATTGCTGGAACAAGTCAAAACTCGAGTTGATGTCCATGAAGCTATGTAGATGCAGACACCCCAGCACTTTATCAGTTAGTTGTTGTTAATTATTCTGAATATCCATTTAAATTCTAGCTCAGTATCATCATGCAACATATCAATATTTAACTGTTGTTGTGTTGTTTGTTATTGTAAACTGTTAAATATCAGTCAGAATACTTTTTCAAATATTTAACATTTTACATTACATCTCATTCTGCCTTCTCTCACCCAGCTCAATGTTAAGAAGAGCAACTTCAGCCCTGTTGATTAGTATCATGTTTCACCGCACTGAGACAGAATATTTCACAACCATTCACTTCACACTAACATTTAAGAGAAAAAGTACATTTCTTTGACAAGCAGGCCATATATTAGAGACATTTATTTATGCATTTATATAGCATATAGTATGCAGTAATTAATTTTAACATGTGTGAAAGCCATCTGATGAAAACTGATTTTTTTTTAATGAAAACTATTCAATCTGTATCTACAGCAGTAATTATTAATAGTACGACATCAACCAATGACTGAAACTTTGTGTTTGTTCTTGCCTTTAGGAGAAAGCTCAAAGCTGACATATCTGCTGCTTTTCCTTCACTGTCTGCTGATGAGATTTCGGAGCTGGTCCCCAACAAAGAGGAATTAAATGTAGTGAAGATTTATGCACATAAGGGAGATGCTGTGACACTTTATGTTCTTCACAAAAACCCACTGTTCTTTGAACTGGAGAAACGACTTTATCCTACAGGTAATAACCTGGTTATTAAGTTTATTAAATTGAGATTAAACTAAATGGATAAAATCTCCTTTAAAGCTGGGGTACACTTTGTGTGTGTGTGTGTGTGTGTGTCATTGGACCAAAAATCCATAATAACCTATCAGGATATTGTAATTCAAGTGGTCTGAGAGGGAACTAGACTTCTGCCCCTGCTCTTGGCTCTGTTTTCAAGCTTTAAAGTGACAGGTTTTTACATCTTTTTACTTTACTTTACTTTTCCTGTGCTGGAGAAAGTGAAAGCCTGATTCAGTGGCAGAAAATTCAGCAAAATGAATAAATAATAAATAAATTTCCTATACTTTCTTTGCCAACAACAGTGTTTATTACAAAACACGTGTGTGAACGTGTCCTGGATCCACACAGAGCTTCGGGCTCATTATGTTCGATGGTGCTCATACTGACGAGTGGCAAAGAGGCATGATAACAAACAGTGGGGAATATCCTTTGAGGGGGAACAGTGGTGTGTGTTTGTGGTGCACTATCCTTTTCCATGTTTATTAGTTGGTGCCGCCCTCCCAGAGAAAGCCCCACTGTTTTTTGCCCGTCACCACTGAAGCAGATCTTGGCTGAGGCAGTTGAAAAGGATGTCTGGTCCATTCTCTCATCCCACTGTTAGGCTGCATCGTTTAAGCTGTCTCTGAGGCATGGAGTGCTCTGCTCTCTGGCCGCTCGAGGGGCATCTTTTGAGAGGACATTTGCTGTGAGATGTACTGGGGTTTTGGCAAGGCTGATGCCGTGGGAAGCAGAAGGCATGAGGTTTTGCAGGGCAACTGGCTCCTTCTGCTGGCCGTTCAACTTGAGCATTTGGTGGCTTTACCCAGCTTTTTAGTAACTTATTTTAGCTGTGCATTGTCATATTTTTCAGTATATGTTCTTTGGCGCTACCCTGCTCTACTGCCAAAATTCAGGACATGGCCTCCAGTGCTTCAGAAGTTGGTTGGAGGAGCAGGTATGTTTCTTCTAGACCTGGACAGATGTTTAATGCTGTACATTTAGGTTGATATTGAGTAACAAATACTGTGTTTTCCCAAAGATCTCATGCTGCCAGGCGTGGTGGTGCCTTCAAGTGGCCTCCCAGATGTGAAACAGGGCGACTGCTGTGCTGTTACAGTAGTGAACAACAGGTATGTAATGATAAAAGATTCCCTTAAAGACTTCTGACATGTTTATCACAGATTTAAGTGTGACACTGTTCCTCTGGTTGATTATAGAGCTCCTGTTGCAGTTGGCACTGCTGCAGTGTCCACTGCAGAGATGCATGGTTTGGGTATGAAAGGGAGAGGAGTGTGTGTTCTCCACACGTACATGGATACTCTCTGGTGAGTAGCTTCCCTCTTTCTGCAGATGTAGCCAGGATATGGTTAACTTAGCTTAGCATACAGACTGGTAACAGTAGGAAATGGCTAGGCTGGTTCTGTCTGAAGGTTAAATAAAATGTGTATACTACGTCTAAAAGCTCACTAATTACCATGTTATATCTTGTTTGTTTTGTGCTTACAAAAACTGTGTAAAAACAACAAGCTGTGGTTTCATAGGGGGCGTGTGTGGGACTGTTTGTTGCCTGGGTGCAGTGACTTCCTTGAGTCTTCTCATAGAAGAAAGAACACGTTAATTAGTGTGCTGTACAAGTTCTGGTAGGCGAGTTGTGCGCCTCTATTTCCAGTCTTTATGCTAAGCTAAAAAAAACTAGCTGCTGGCTGTAGCCGGTTATTTACCAGACTCAGCAAGGAAATGGATAAACACATTAACAGGATTCCCTGTGCAGCCCTTCAGTCGAATAAACCTTGTGCATGTGTTTTTGTACACTCTTTAGGGCTTTTGGAGACAAGTCGGGTCCTCCGTCTTTACCGGAAGCAGAGAATGAAGGACAAGGGGTGAATGGAGAGGAATATGAGGTCAGTGAGGAAGAGGAGGAAGAAGTTGAGAAGTATTTGGAGGAGGAGCAGAGTCCCGGTGAAATGGTGAAGGATCAAGCTTGTTCTGGTATTGAGGAACTGAGTTTGGCTGAGCAGGAGGAAGAGAAGGGTCAAAGGGACAATGAGGAAGAGGAGGGAAAAGAGGATGAGAAGAAAATGGCACAAGGTAACAGTTTTAGTCACATCTCTGATTATATCTCTGAGAATCTAATTTAATATTTCAAGTTGTAGGTTTGGCATTGAAGTACTTACCACCACAGTTGCACTGAATCGGCTTTTAATAAGACTCAGCCTCACGTTATCCCAGATTCGAATCAAATTGAGACATTCACTAAATGGTTGCAGGGCAGGCTCTAGTTGGTTTGTTGATACAACTGGAGAATAAGATTTTATGATGTGGCGAAATGGGAACGTATTCAGAGAGAAAATGATGTGACCCAGGTTGTACCCTGATTCCACAGAGATAATGGACGCCCTGCTGTTGCAGTGTTTTCTCCATGCTCTCAAGAGCAAGGTGAAGAAGTCAGAGCTCCCTCTGCTGACCAGTACATTTCTCCGCAACCACATGTTCTCCTGCTGGTAAACTACAGTTCATCTTTTAAGAAGCGCTAGAATAAGTAATTCAATTTAGTACTGAAAACATATTTTATTTTTTCAGCCCAAATGGAAAGCAACTTGATATCAAGAAATCCAGCTATAAAAAGGTATATCAGATGTCCACATTGTGAGATTTTACAAATATAACTACTTCTTTTTCTATTTTATAACTCCATCAGTAAGCATTTATTCCTTGTTTTTCTAACAGCTGTCCAAGTTTCTACAGGCCATGCAGCAGCAGCATAACCTTGTGCGAGTGAAAGAACTGACCAAGGGTGTGGAGAGCATTGTGGAGGTGGACTGGAAAAATCCAGAGTGAGCCAAGCCCTGCCTCAACTTTAAGAAGTTCTTGGACTCAAACTCACATCCCACCTGCATTCTGACTAACTATCAGTATGATTTTCCTTTTACATTACATCAATACTTTATAGACTGCGTTACTTCAGCGTTCCTGAAGAGACAGATGTTGAAGCAGCCCCGGTGCAAGATGGAGGGGAAGGAGACACTCCATACCATCCACCTGAGATCACAACTCTTTACTCTGTGTCAGCTCGACTGGAGCCTCTCTTTCTGGATGCAAACAAGAGGTTTGTGTGTGTGTTTGTGCATTTTCCTAACCTGGACTCGGGCATTGAAGCTTGTGTGTTAGCAAGCCTCCACAAGTTTCCTTTTTACTTGAATTTGTGGCACTGAATCCCTTCCAGATCTAGGAGAGCTGACCTCGACCTCCCTGCAAGGGGATTTAGACAATATTTCCATTATACTTAGGCTGACATCACTCCCTTTATCCCCCCTTCCTATATAATAGACACTCAGTTGTTTTCTCAATAGTGATCAGTAAATTGATATCTTGTGAATCGTTTTGCGTCATCACTGACAGCTGCAGCAGGGTTTTTTTGCAACAACAAAATGTGACTAAAAAATCAAGAGTTGGCAAGCACAGGATGCATCATTTATCAGAATCAGATCATTTCATACTGTATGTCATTTAAATGGTTTATAATAGATTATCAGTGTTTTCTTACCAGATTTGCTCACGACTAGCGGAAAAAAATAGAACAGACAGCAAATTGTTGCAGATTGCCAGCCAGCTGCAGAGCTCAATACCGTGCTGCAGTGTGCTCCGTCTGAACTGAACCAATTGGTTAAAATTGGCCACGAAAGGAAGCCTGCAGGGCCCGGTCGGCACTTCAAGGTGTTTCCGACCTCCGAACAGCTCTCCATGCGACAAAAGGCAGGGAGAGCAAGCACCCCAACAAAACCCTCAATACAGTCATAGAAAAAGATAGAAACGAATAAAAGAACAGAACTTAGTCTTGTTTGTTCTATAGAGCTTTTTCACAGCAGCCATTTTGACGTGCTATAATAGAAAAATCACAGGTGTTACTAATACCATTAACAGTGCGTCCGTTCTATTTAATTGTTCCAGTGAGCCATGGCACCATGATGGTGAGCCTGAATGCGCGATACCAGGACTCTAAAACTGAACTTATTTACGCCTGTGCTTTTCCTACTGTGACTGACAAGTCAAGATGTCTAAGAACACCTATTGTGGAAATGTTTGAGGTCACCATAGGGTATAAAAAATATAGTATATACATTTTCCACCCAGCAAAAACAAGAGGTAAATATTGCACCCGGTTTGGTTCATTTTCCAGCAAAGGCTTGCAAACTGAAAGCACCCTCTTTTCCCCCCTACCTTCTGTTACTGCTTTACAAAGGCCTAATTCAATCCATAGAACTCTGCTGCTCCCCCTGTTTTCTCACCATGCTGTCTGTCTCCAACAAAAACAAGTTTGTCCTATTACACACAGAGCTTCCAAAATCATTAGTCCTCCAACCCCCTAAGCTCTTAGATCTCAATAACAGAGGCATCACTCACATTGCACTCACTGCAGCACATGACCCTGGACACCCCCTTAACCCATTTATTTATTTTAGTTCTTTAATCTTTATTTGACAGATACAGTATACATTAGAGAATTGCATTACAATTAGCCAGTGCAATGTATCACAGCATTTTTAGCTACTCATAATTTCCAGTGCTTGTTCCTAGAAAAGCCAATTTCCCTCTACCTCCATTCGATACATGATGCTTAGATGGAAAAATGCCCATTTTAGCTGAATTTTTGCCCCTCCAGTTCTAAATTGAATAGCTTGTTAATCACAAACACACTATGTATCCTTGTTCTGGAGGCATGCACAAAAGCACATTATGTGCACACAAGTTTCCCCCTTGGTGACAATAAAATGTATCTGTCTACTTACCTAACTTACTAAACACAGCTGGCCAGCTAATTTTTTATGCTTCTTATATTTTCCGTTTCCCCTTCCCATCTCAAAAATGGACTCAATGACCGAGTAGGAGACTTTGAAATGAAATATATGTGCACATTCATAGATATATATAGATGTACTTTTCAATGAGGGAGGAGTAGATGTAATTTTTTTCAGACACAAATTCCAAATACTCCGAATGTATATATAAGTATATTTAAGCCTTAATAAGTCTTCAAACATGTCTGGAAGGGACTTATGTTAGTTATGTCAATGTTTTGTACTGTATACATTTTCTTGTTCAGTTTTGTATATTTTAAAGGTGCATTTAAGGACAGGCTTTGCACGCTACCTTAGGCTTTAAATGCTGTGGTATGTGACTTTAGTCTATGCTATGTACTGTAAATACATAAAATATATGAATACATAAATACATTTGTGTTCATTTCAGTAGCATTAAAAACTCCTTAAGGGGAAGATACCTTCATGCATTTCTCTCATATGCACATTTATTGATAAACTTATGTGTGCTTTTGTGCCCTGCAGGAAAGGAACAATGCTGCTGCCTGCTGACGTGAGAAATATTGTCACAGAGTATGTGAAGAAGAATGAACTGGTGGATGAAAATAATAAGAAGTAAGTATATTTGTATTTGGGGAGTCTTCTCACCTCTTTTCACCCTCTATCCGACACACTCCATTTGAGCACCACTGGGTCTTCCCTTCCTCAGATGGTGGATGAAGATGAAGACTTCTGTGTTGGTTTGTGCAGCCAACCGTCACCTAGCCTATGGTTGGGGCTGTGTTTCTCTGTGTTGTCATAGATAAACGGAAGAAAAATACAAAGAAAAAAATACAAATTAAGCACATCAGGCAGTGTTTTCTGTGGGAGACAGTGGACTTTGGGTTTTGTCACTTTTCAGACCTTTTACATCTAAATCTATATAGCACACTAAGGTGCTGGGAACACCCCAAAAAGCATAATATGGCCTCTAATAGATTTCCTTTTTCAAAATCAAATGCTGCAGGCTTGTCAGCTGACATCAAAAGAGGAAGAACCTCTGTAATCGAACAACACTGATGGAAACACAGAGCTCAGTTTAAATATAACCACCAGTTTTTCCATAACTGGGTTCAGTTCTAAAAGGGCAGCCTAATGGGCCACTGAAGAGACATAGAGCTGACCCCAGGCCATGTGATGTTGTTATAATTGGCTAAAATGCTTAAATGTGACTCTGAAACTGAAGACACATCTCATGTTTCTTTTTAGGTCATGAAAATTGCGCATCTTCTCATGTGGAACAAATTGATAATGAGTGATGGGAAAGATTAAATAAAATCTTTCATGGAACTGGCATCGCTTAACGTATCAGAATTTTCCCATATTGTGCTCTCTTAACAGTTACGTGACCATAAACCCTATTCTCTGTGACTGCTTGCTGGAGAAATCTGAGTACCAGGAGGTAGAGTCTCTCAAGTGGGATGACCTCTTTAGCAGGTAAAGACTCATTTTATTTTCTTATTCTGTTTTTGTTGGACCATCTGCTCATGCTTGCAGTCTTTAGTCATGCCAGATTTGGTAAATTTTATCTGCACTCCTATGGGAGACTACAAGTGGAGAACATACAGTGATATTGTATATACATGCTGTGGAATTTTATAGATTAAATTCTATTCAATTAAGTTTAAAGAGAGAAGGACAAAGAAAAAGGTGCACAGCAACAACTATACTAGTAGAAATGACTAATAATGATGATGATATAACCACAATGATGACGACAATAACACAAAATACAATAATTAAATGTGGACATTAGATCTCTGTCTTGTAAAGCTGATTATTGAAATAATATTAGAGCCCAGTATTAATTTACTCTGACGTAACACTTTATCATAAATAACGATTTATATAATTTAACAGATATAATGCAGCCAGGTGGAGGCAGTCAGCATCATCTTTGCAGGATAAAATAATCATCCTAATGCAAGCCCATAATCCAAATCTGATCTGTAAGCAACGATAATACTGCTGCTCTGCAGTCTGACACTCCCAACACGTAGTTTGTAAGTGCTGCTATAAAAAAACAAAATAAAAAAGAAACAAGGACAAAGTCCTTAATTTTTTAAGTTCCTTTTGCCTCAAGTAAAATGGCTTTTTCTCAGTATTGAGGCAGAGTAACTAATGGAAAACGTTGTTGGTGGGAGAATCCCAGCAGGATTTGGTTGTAGTGGTCGTACAAAAGCAAAGAACTGCCTTGTGTTGCTTTTTCCACCCCTGGGAGTTATTAAAGGTGAGCTGATTTTATGGTGATACATGATTGGCCTTGACCTGTTTATTTTTAAAGGTAATTTGATCGATGTTCTAGTGTTGCCTTCAGACATCTGTCAGTATTTGTCGTGTTGATATTCCGATGCTGACATGCCAAAGAGATACCACATGGACACCACATGCACTGTGATTGGTTAGCTCGTCCAGTAGAGATTGATAATAGTTAAGACAACATGGGGCAAGGTGAAGAAAGGTTCAGAGATCTTTCTTTTCACGTACACAAGAAAAATGTATATTTTGAGAAGCCCTTAACAGTGCTTACCTTCACATTATTGCTCTCTATGAGAAAGTGAATGAAAGAAGTATAATTACAGCTTTAGCTGACATGAAGATTTGGTAATCATATACTATACATTACTGTACATAAACAGATGGATAGATTAGCAGACCCAATTCAGTATCTCTGTCAGTCTTTGTCTCTCTGTCATCCAACTTTTTGTTGCAGATTAAACAATTCCATCTCATTTTCACAGGACGTTGGCACGAATGCAGGAGTGCTATCAAGTTGTATTCCCTGGACAAGCACCCGTAAAAAAGAAGGGCCACATTGAGCCCATTGACATCTCTGTGGCGTCCCGAGGCTCCAGTAAGAAGGTGAAAACTTCTACATCCAACTTCTTCTACTAATGCTGATATATGAGAGTTTAACAAGAGGCTGTACTTGTGCACAGGGGTGCTTTGGGCTAAATGGTAATTTTAACATGCTCACAATGACATTGCTAACATGCTAAGTGAGACATATGAGCATTTCTCTTCTGCAGTACCTTGTTACTTGTTTGCTAACGTATACACGATACAGATGTGTCAGTGGTAAGCTAATATTGGTATCGGTAAGGTTGTAACGATAATAGAATTATAACCTTTGATACAATATTAGTGTATAAATATAAGTATACTGTGAAAAGATGATAGTTGATGCCTCTTTTGTATATAAAAAATGGTTTATTGGCCTTGGTACTTTTAATACTATCAAATGATAGCATTGTATCATTTAAGAAAAATCAAAGCATCAATACTTTTGACAACCTTTAAATATCGGGTCATCCGTGAGCCTGGCTGATTTATTGTTCTAGCTCTAATTATTTCCATACCTGTAGGTGACTCTAATAAAGAACCTGGAAGTGTACGGTTTGGATCCTGCAGTCGTAGCCACAGCTTTGCAGCACAGAGTGCAGGCCAGCTCTGTCATACAGCCCATTCCTGGTTCCAAGGACAAAGTCCTGGTCCAGATCCAAGGCAACCAGATTCATCAAGCTGGCAATCTGCTGTTAGGTTTGGAACTTTATAATACTTGAAGTTTTTTTTTTTTTACAATTTAATTTGTTTTGTTTTTATTTGTACAAATAAATTCAGTTTGTCTAATCTTTTATTTTAATTTCAGATCACTATCAGATTCCTCGCAAGTACATACAAGGACTAGAAAAAGCTCCAAAAGGTGGCAAGAAGAAGTAGCATTTCAACCTGCTACACCAACCATTTAATGTCTTTAAAGCTGCTTTACTGTATGTAAACACAACAACAACAGTCGGCCATTCATTTAATAAAGTCACTGTCATCTTCTGGAGGTTAATGAAGCTGTTAGTCCTTGTTGTTCTGATTTGTCTCCCAGAGATAATCCAGAGTAGAGTTATTGATCGTATCATTTAAACCAGGCCAGTATTGTTTCACTGCAAGGTAATTTGTTTCTCATGGTGAAGAGAACTTTTGGAGAAAACTCTTTTGTCAGATTTAAACATTTAAAACCATCAGATTAAACATTTAGTAAAAATAATCAAACATTTAATGCTCTGTCCAAAAAGGTTTTATATTATGAGTAGTAAAAGCATTTGAGAGGATGGTTTTATAATTTTATAATCATTATTTTACATCCAGTTTTCTTTTTTTTTAATACAGCAATTCTTAACCTGTATTTCTACATTGGCACCTGGAAGTTGCACTGAAACAGTTTAGGATCAGGGGCCTTGCGCCTTACATTGGTAATGGGACAAAATTATAATATAATTATTTGTGCAAAACAATAGACTAAACACAAAGAAACATGGATACAATGAAAAGTAACAGAAACCTGTTTTAAACAAGCCAGTATTTTGTGCAATGTTTCTTAAAATTCAAAACTGCAGTATTTTGCGTTGGGTAAGTCACCACAACAAAGGAAATTCTATATTTCTCCTGCGGTAAAGTCCTTCAAGGACTTCACAGAATTTGCCATAATTCTTCATTTGATTTTGGTTGTTTTTGTCAGGGTCTTTTTTTTTTTTTTGTCGACTCAAATTTAACTAAGGATGTGTGCAATTATACAGCCTCAGTTATGTTGAGGTCAGTCTCTGTGGTGACCAATCTAGTATTCCATCTGCTTTCTGAGTCTTTATCGTGTTTGTAGTGTTTTTGAGGATGTTTTAGCAGTAAAAGATGTATGAAAAGAAGAATTTGTTCCAATCTGTTGTTTCCCTGAAGGCAATCAAGACTTATTTATAGTTTTGTCCAGATCCTGTACACCCAAGGGCACAATTTCCACTGGGGACGGGGGCGACATTTTAAAATGCTATTTTTGTCCCCCGCCCTTTTAGTGTTGAGCATACTAAATTTTTTAGGAAGTATCAGGAAACTGTAAAGAAACTAAACTATATTAAGATAACATAAGATATTCCTTT